TTTCTTTGATTTTTAATTTTGATTTGAACTCCATGTTTTTTTTTTTTGATTTTTGACTTGACAGGTAGTAACAACTTCGATAATGGCAACGACTTTGGTGAAAAAAAAACTAAGTATAACATAGAAAGGTGAAAAATGTATGTTATCAATTAACACGATTTTAAAGCATAATGTAAAAAATATCACTTACTTGTAGTGATGATATCAAGAGACAACGACTTGCCACTATTGGAGATGGCACCGACGGGCGAAAGTTAAAAACTTACTATGAACAACACAGCCTTAACAAGTAAGAAGTATGATAGGTAAGAAGCGTGATACATTATCAATGATAATTAGTAAGACTTTAATGGTGAAATAACATACTGGTGGCATGATCTGGCGATTTATTAGTTTCCAAAAGACTTTTATATTTTCTGAACTAATAATTTGCTTTCTGAATATCTCTCTTCATACCGGTACCATCTCGATAACAACGTGCAACATTATTCATTGCTGCTTTAGAACTCATATTAGCAAATTTTTTATAATATGCGATAACTTTAACAAGAAAAAGATACAACATACAGCTTTGACAGGTAATTAGGTATAAGAGATATACCAACTAACAATCATTTCAATAAGCATAAACTGATGGTAAGTTTAATATAAAAAAATAGCTTCAATGTATGAGAAGCATACCATTTGATAGAGAACTAACATAGTGATACAATTATCTAATAGCAAAAGGAATCCTAGAAAATCAAAAGAGAAATTGAAAATAAGTGTTGTAAAAGATTATTATATACTCCATTTTTTAATATTCCAACGTTAATATAATTCAAACCACCGAATATTACCTTAAAGAGCCATATAATCCAAATAAGAACATAAGTCCTAAAAAATGGAATAAACCAGTAAAATCGAATAAATAAGAACGTATTAACACCAAATCAAACACCACATGAACGACCTCAATATAATGCTAAATTCAAATACTATAATGCGAAAGGAATCCTAGAAAATCAAGAAAAAAATTGAAAGATAAGTGTTGTGAAAGATAAATATATAACTTCATTTATTCTTATATTTCAACACCAATCTAATTCAAACCACCTAATATTACCTTGATGCATTGTTGAAGAGCCATATAATTCAAACAAAAACACAAGTTCTAAAGAATAATATATTAGATTGTAAGTATATTTTTTAAAATCAAAATTCTTTTAATTCCAAAAAATAACTATTTTTTAGGATGAACGATTAAACTGGTAAAATTGAACGTATTAATGCCAAATCAAATATCACGTATGAACGACTGCTAAATTCAACTACCGTAACCACGAACGACTTCAACGTAACATAAATCAAAACTACCAAGCAACAAACGACCAAGCAACAAACGACTTCAAGTAGAAGCACAGAAAACTGGGAACTAGGGATAATTTCAGTGCTCAAAAGCAAGAACCACAGCAAACTACCGGCAATTCTAATAAAGAAGAGCGCAAATCCAACTCATAACAAGATCCAGAAAAAAAAAAAGAGCAATAGCGATTGTAAGTAAGTAATACTAATCTTTAGACTATGGTTTAACTTTATAATTTCATATTACTACAGTACTAATCAATCTTCTTTCGTTACATGGAAACTTTCTATGCATGTTATGGGAAATCCTGTAACATGTCACGGGAATCCCGTAAAATTTGCGCATGACATGTTAAGGGATTTTTCATGTGACATGTCACGGGAAATCCCGTGACTTGTCACACGAAAAATCCCATGACATGTTATACAGGAAATTGTGTAATAAGTTACACAAAAAAAAAGGCCCAGTTTCATTTTAATCTGATTTCATTATAAGCTGCCACAATAAATACAATTATCTTTTATCATTGTTTATATTTGTTGATAATAATAGAAAATCACGTTTAGAAGCACAGACTTTCTTAAATAATAAGATACAGAAAAGCTATAAATAGGTTTTATAGCAAACCTTAGATATAACAGATTTTGAGCCACAAGTTATTTTAACAGATATGGATCCAGCAATGAATGCGACTTGTTAAAATATATATAAAAATACTTATTATATACATATACATTGTATTTGGCATTTATCTCAGAATTTATCTAAGAAACTTAAAAATAAACTTGGTTCTATTGATTATAAATTATTTATTAATGATTTCTGGAAAATATGCAATTCATTATGTATTGATGTTTTTGAATACAGATTTCAAATTCTATTAAATAAATATTCTAATACTAATAAGTATTTGCATAATCCGATTTATATATATGATATTCATAAGCATGCACATATACAAGTTGAATATTTACAGATAGCATGCAATTAACACAATGTGTTGAGTCAATAAATTTAATTATTCACAAAGCTGTTTCTGCTAGCTCAACTATGGCTGATATAATTGAAGCATTAGATTCTTGAATGCAAAAAGAAGCTTTAAATAAGAGTTTTATAGCATGGAAGTATAAATCAACAACATTTTATCAATTATTTATCATAAAAAATTTTTTTAATAATATTAATAATATAATTAAAAAATGGTTGATTTTTAGTATAACTAGGCAATATAGAATTATTATAAGATTATAATATATAAACATAGTATTTGAACTAATTTAAGCAAATTTGAGATTAGTTAAAGTTAGTTAAGGGTTATAGTAATGTTTATAGTTAGCTCTAGGGTTAGAGTTAAAGTTTTTTTATATTATAATTTTATAATATTTTTATATTGCCTAGCTATACTAAAGAAGATCCTAAAAAATATTTTTCGCCACGAATTATTGAAAAATTATATACACAAATGTGTGAATCAATACTATATAAATGTGAGAAAATATCTAACGAAGATGTTTTAGAATTTATTGAAGATCAATTAGTAAGTTATCTATAAATTAAAGATTTAAATTACTTTTTTAATACTATTATTTAATAAGTTAAAAGCTAGCAATTAGGGTAATAATAAGTTTAATTAATAGTTAGAGTTAGGGTAAATTAGAGTTAGTGGTTAGAGTTAGAGTTTTTTAAGTTAGTGATTAGAGTTAAAGTTTTTTTTAGATTAGCAGTTAGGGTTAGAGTTTTTTTAAATTAGTGGTTAGGGTTAGGGTTTTTTAAGTTAGCAATTAGGGTTAAAGATTTTTTTAGATTAAATTAGAGGTTAAAAATTAGTAAATATTTTTTGGTATATATTAATTGTTTTATATTATATAAATTTTAGAATAAACTACCAATAGTAAATAAGCAAAGTAATGATAAAAGCGTTATGAATATTGAAGATTACTATGATTATTGACAAGTATATTTGAAAACATTAATAAATTCTGTTTTAGAAAAACCAATTCATGAAGTATGGCAAATTATTCTTTATATAACAATGAGTTTATATCAGTATATTATCATTCTTGAAGATAGAACACATTTATGTACATGCTTATTGTTAGTTTCACATGGAATTGTTTGTCAACACTACTTTAAACTAATAGTAAAAAATGCAAATACATTGTTTTATGTATTATTAATGCCAACAAGATGGTTTCAAGACAATACTTTAAGTAAAGTTGATTTGGCTTCTAATGAGCTTTTTATTGAAGCATTATCTAAAAGTTTAAAAAAGCTTTCAAATAATTCTTTACAACAAACTTATTCTATTCTTAAACATTATAAAAATATTCAAGAAGACAAAGTTTAGCAATATGCTTATAAAAAAAAAGTATTATAGCCAACTTATAGAATACTTCAAGAAAGCACTAAATTATTCAATAGAAGATAATGATCAAAAAGCATTAGACAATCTTATATTATTATATATTTCAGAATAGGAAGCAAGTCGAAAGACTGATATGCAAATAAAGAAAAGAATTTTGAAAGATATCGATAATCCAAACTATTGTTTAATGGTCAAGTATATAATGTAGATGATATAAATAATCCAATAAAATATAAGAATAGAGATAGACTTGCAGGCAAATGATTAAAAGCTTGCAATTAAATAGATAGAAATGTAAGTAACCAAAAAGAAAATAAACATGAGAATGATGATAATAATAGTATTAATGGTTATAAATATAGCTTGTGCCATAAAACTGATCATTATGCTCTAAAATGTTCTACTAAAAATAGTAACTATTAGTATTATAGCTTCTTATACATATATATGCAATGATATAAAATGTAATTTAGTTTTACTTAGTGTTAGAGATTGAGTAAGAACTAACCAATATAATAGCTAAAACTTTATATATATATATATATGCACATGATATATTATATCTTTGATATGTAAGCTTTAATAGTACTAGCAATCTGTAGTGTATGTATTAGACCTTTGATATGAACTTTAATAGCATTAATATATATATTAGATCTTTGAATGCAAGCTTTAATAGCACTAGCAATTTGTAGTGTATATATATATATATACATACATATAAACATATATATATATCAGATATTAGATATACATTGTTACATATATATTATATAATCAACATATAGCTATATAATCGCAATATATAATATACTAGCATATAACTTGTCACTTTGTTCCAAAATTAAGAAATAATAATAAGTAATAATTATTAGTTGTAATATAAATAATAATTGATTATTAATCTACTAAAGACTTGACTAATAACTTTATTATTCAACATGTCTAATATAAGCACTAAGTAATTTCTATGTAATTTATTTAATTATTTTCTAATACAAATATGCAAACATTTACTCACCTTGTAAGAGGTGAGTAAATTTTGTATATCATATTAGAAAATGACCAAATAAGTTATATAAAAATTATTCAGTGATTACATAAGACATGTTAGATAAATATAGAGTTAATATATTATTCTTTAATATGTAGACCAACGCAGGCAAATTTGCCTGCATTTTTGCACTTTTTTAGCTCTGATTTACTTTTTTAAAATGC